TATATAAAGTTACATATATGTACAATCTATTTGAGGGACACTTTGTGGGGTTTACTACAAATTTTATTTCAATGATCTGAACTTTCTATTTTCAAGTCTTCATTCATAAGTTATTTAGGATAAAGCTATTCAGCCTAGAAAAAGCCTGGTGGTTTGGAAAGCTTTACAGAGTCGACTTCTTATAGATGAATTTGTCCAAAAGCGTAGTGTGTCCATAGCCTCTGTTGTTCTATTTTTTTCTCGCTACGATGAAACTGTTAACCACCTTTTTCTTAATTGCCTGTTTGTCATGGACTTGTACTAGAATTGGTTGCTTCGACTTTTTAACAAGTCTCTATGCACTTTAGACTTGATAGATAATATTTTTGTAGGTCCTTTTCGCCTTCTTCCCATAAACTACGGTTATCGGTAGCATGCAATTTGGTATCTAAGAAATTAAATTCATTTTGATTGCTTGGTTGTTTGCCTGGATTATGCCCATCAGTGATTCCTATCTCGTTTTAAGGAATCTGCGAGTACTTGCTTCATTTTTGGATATTCTCCTTCCTCTATGCCGATATTTCAGCTTTTGCGTTTTTAGCCTCTTACTCTGTTAGCTCCCAAGTTAATTCATTTGATGTGGTCTCCTCCCCTTCCTGGTTGGGTTAAATTCAATTTTGATGGTTCTTGTAAAGGCTTCAGTTTTTTTTTTTTTTTTTGTTTTTTTGGGGGGGTTTGAAATAGTGAGTGCAAAGTTCTTAGTGCTTTTGCTTGTAATCAAGACCGGCCTAGCTAAACTGCGACTGAAGTTCTTGCTTTTCTTAAGGCTATAAGAGTTGCTTGGGTGAGAGATTGAAAGCATCTTTGACTCGAAACTGATTCTTCTTTGGTGGTTCATTTTTTTTTCTCTTTTATCTCTTATTCCATTCATTGGTTTTTGCATACTAAGTGGAAGAACAGTTTGTGGTGCATTAAGCAAATGAATTTTGTTTGCACTCATATTTATCAGGAGGGTAATTGTGTCACAGATATGTTAGCAAATTTTGGTGCTGATAATCCAACCTATTACTAGTGGGACTCCTTACCTCTGTGGGCTGCTACCGCTTATGTTAAAGATTTAGTGGGTCTTCTCACGTTACGCTTTCGTTGATTTTGTGTGTTTAGTTTGATCACATCCTTTAGGTTGGTTTTGTTGCGAGGTTTGGTCAGTTATCCCTCGGTTGTTTACTTCTTCTTTTTTTAATAAATCTCTCCTCATACGTCAAGGTTCCATTTAAAAAAATAAATCTTTACAAAAATTTAGACAAATTTAAAACTATTAAGACATTTAATTGTAACCAACAAAGTAGACGAATACGGTGCTTCAAGTACATTAATAACAATCATTTAATTGAGTGGTCAAATTTTTAGCGGATTCAAGTTTTTTTTTGGTTAAGATGATCTTTGAAGGGCATACCCCTCTCCCCTCTCCCCATTCTCTTCTTTCCTCAAAATTATGTGTACCAATTTTTTGGCTGGATTTTTTTGCTTGGCTGCGGTGATGATTTCGTTGGCAACTCTTGTGGTTTTGCTGCTCTTGGAATCTTTGGTGACAGTAATGCACTGGTAGTTTCGTTGGTGGAGATTCGGAGATAGACGATGTGGCTAAGAGGCTTTTACTCACTAGTTGTGGATTTATAGATTCTTGGGTGGTAATAATTGCATTAACTCTACTTGTAGTTTTTACTTGTGAGAGTTGAAAAATTGTAGTTGTCTTGGTAGTTTTAGGCACTGCTATTTATGTATGGCTTGCGGATTTTATGCCGAAATTTCTTTAGCTTAATGTGGCTATTAGTGGAGATACACATTGTGCACTTGATTAATCATGCGTGGTTACTATGCTTTCGTCTTTGTACTAACCTTTGTGAGTATTTGTATTAGCCCTTATGACCAAGGGCAACCTTAGGGTAGTGCAAGTGGCACTACCTCACAAGGCCTCAAAATTTTATATATAAACATATTAACATTATATAATTTTAGCTCGTCAGCACATTGACGCAAGTGTGTGTTTGGCTGATTTGGTTCAAGCTCATATTGTTATATTCCTATTTAGATCGGTGCACTAGATACTAAGTTATATAAGGTTTGATAAGTGTTTAAATTATGTTATACATTGGGGCCTAAAACTTTGTGAAATAAGGAAAGTTTTGAAGCCAATTAAAGGGGTCCTATTTATTTCCTTTTGCGTGAACCATTGCTTGATTGGCTTAGACTGTTAGGCAAGTTGGCCCTCGGTGATGAGTAGAGACAACTTAACCTGGCCCTATATAAGCTTAAGACCCTGCTCTCGTCAGATATGTTTTCTAACCCTAATCTCATCATAAAGAAAGAGCTAAAACAGTTTCTGAGAGAAAGCAGAAGTCTTAAGCCATTCGTGTCTTTTGCTTGTGCTGCTACTGTGACTGAATGAGTTCTGAGATCGTGTATCCAAGGAAGATGACGCTAGGTATGTCTTTTACGTATTTTAAGTTGTGTGAAAGATCATGAACACATATATGGAAATCTAACAGTTTGTATCAGAGCAAATGGTTACTCATACACACTAAGATCGTTTTCAAGCATGCCTATTGCGATTTCTTTATCGTTTGATGCCATGACTATTTTGGTTATGTTTAAAATTTTGATGAAAGATTAAACATGTTTTTTTCTTTCTAAATACTATGAATATTAAATAATCTGGAAAAGGCATATGTTAATTTATTTTTCATATTTTCAAAACTTTGAACCTATTTTTGACCTAATAGATGACCTTAAAACCCTAAAAATGGCCTTATGTCACAGCAAAGCAGTGGTTTCTGTTAGTTACGCCATTCCCTATTCGGAGAGGTATAATGGATCGAAAACAAACACCGAAAACCCCTAAAACAATATTCACGGTAATTTTAGGGGTTTCTCTTATATTGTGTTTTGTTTGGTTATTTTTTGTGCTAAATAGGAACTGGCTATAAAATAGACATTTATGGCACATTTCAAAAGAAATAATGAAATTTTTTATTAAAGAACAAGTCTTGCCACCACTGACTTTCAGTGATGAAAAGATTTGTATTCAATGCGTTTAAAGGAAAACTCACTAAGAATAAAAAGAAAGGTGCAACTCGCAATAATGATCTTTTAGAGATCATCTACACAGATATTTGTGGACCGTTTCCTTATCAAAAAATTGATGAAATTTGATATTTCATCACCTTTATAGATGACCATTCTCATTTTGGTTATATATACCTCATAGCAAAAAAATCTCAAGCCTTTGAGATGTTTAAAAAATTTCAAACTGAAGTTGAAAGGCAACTTGAGACAAAGATCAAAATTGTGAGGTCAGACAGATAGGGTGAATATTATAGACATTTTGATGAAAGAGGACGACATGCTGGACCTTTTGCTAGGTATCTTCAAGATAATGGAATAGTTTATCAGTACACAACGCCAAGAGCTCCGCAACATAATGGTGTGGCTAAGAGAAGAAATTGAACTTTGAAGGATATGGTTTGTAGCATGATTTCCAAAACTGATTTGCCTATGCATCTATAGGGAGAGGCGATCAAAACAGCAAACTACATACTCAATAGAGTGCCCAACAAGTCCATGCCTAAGATACATTTCAAAATTTGGAACACCAGAAAGCCTAGCTTGAGACATCTTTTATGGGGTTGTAAGGCTGAAGCTAGAATCTATAACCCTCAAGAGAAGAAGTTTGATCATAAAACGATTAGTTGTTATTTTATTGGTTATCCTGCAAGGTCAAAGGGTTTTAGATTTTATTGTCCAAATTATTGTACGCAAATTGTTGAGACTAGTTGTGCAATGTTTATAAAGCATGAGGAGAATGCCATTGGGAATGAAGATTTTATTTTCAAATAAGGGGATGTAGCTGTGATCAAGAATAATGAACAGGATTACACCCTTGATTCCTTTAAGTGAAACTGTATTAGAATCTCCTTAATGTGAAGAACCAGTTGATCAACAACAACAACAAGAAGAAGCTGCCGAAAATCCAAAGTTGAATAATCCATAAGAACTAGTGCAACCGAGGACATCTGACAGACCAAGAAGGTCCATAGCAAATTCAGATTATGTGTACTTATAGGAATCAGATTTTGACATTCGAGATGAGGCTGATCCAACAAGTTTTGAAGAAGCTATGGAAAGTTAGAATGCAGAAAAATGGAGGGAAACAGTGTTGAATGAACTCGAAAACATGAAGAAGAATCAAGTATAGGAATTAGTTGAACCTCACAAGAGCCAGAAATTAGTAGGCTTGAAATAGATATTTAAAATAAAGAAGGATAAAGATGGAAAAATTGAAAGATTTAAGGCTAAATTGGTAGCAAAAGGATTTACTTAAAGGGAGGGAATCACTACAAGAAAAAAAGGCTAATGTGACGAAAACATTTCCTCACATTAGGCAAAATTTCCTCGCAATTACGTTAAAGTGACCATATTATGGTGTCACAAGGGTCGTCACATTAGGCCCTTCACCCGATGTCAAATGTGACAACTATAACTCAGTGTCACATATATTACAATGTGACGAGGTATGAATTTGTCACTGTTTACAATATGTGGCTTCTCGTGTTTTGTCACATTGTTTCTTTGTGACATGTAACAATAGGTCACGTAATTCATTTTTTGATGACTGGCAGGTGGTCACATCATATCTAATATGACGACAGACAAGTTGTCACAACGTTCAATTTGTGAAGCTTTATAAATTGTCACTTTATTTAAAATATGACATATAACAAATCGTCATATTGTATAATTTTTTATGCCAAAAAAATCAGAATTGATAATACGTGTGAATGATTTCATGACAATGATCGTAATAAATATAATACTCTGCATCAAGAATAAAAAGCTTTATATCATAGATGAATAATATCCAAAATAGCATATGCAAGTTAAGTATTTGCTTAATAGTATATCCAAGGTTCTAAACACGCTTAGTATCCAAAATAACATAATGTAAACATGTAAATCTCATCCTAGGTTGTTGCTGACGACATCAAAGCTGCACGCAACATTGACATCAACTGTGCATTATCCAGCCCATCATTGTTGGATGCCTCCAGAGCTGCCACCAAATTTGGCCTCAAATTTGAATAATCTTCCTGCACACTTTGCATATTTGTGGCAAGCATCTGTATTGTATCTTGTAACTTGCTAACCTCAGAATTAGAGGCTTCATAAAAAACAGTAGTTGAGATATTGGCTTCCATTTGAGGAAAAGCACCAAGACCACAAATTGTCCTACCTTTCACTCCAAGTACATCACCCATGATCTTGAACTCAGCCTCAATTGGAATTCCTATTGAATCAGGAATTCCTATTGAATCAGCCTCAATATCCTCATCAACTCCTCAATTATCTTGGCCCTTAGTTCATCTCACATTTTTTTCATTTTTTTCCTATAGACAAACCAACAAATTAAACTTGCATATGACATATGAGATGCCATTAGTAATTGTGTGTAAGAAGAACTAATAAACCAACACCCATTTAAAAAAGCAGTATTGCATAGTGTTTTCTAAATATGTAAGACGATCCACGATTTCTACCAATTTGGGTGCAATACTAATATAAATCATTATTGACTTACATGCTTTTCTTGGGCATCCTCGCTAATCCAATTATGCTCTCTGTCTTTATGTAGCCTTTCCCAATTATCAATGAAATAAAAAAACTGATTAAAGTAACATCTGTCGTAAGTAACATCCATTCCATATTGCAACAAATGGAAGTGAACCATATGAATATGGTGCCAAAATGAATTATGGCAATGCCTACATGGTCATAATATCTCACCACTAGTATTCACATGGTGTCTTGCAATATCAATGAAGGATTCAATCCATTTTCTTATAGTTTGGATCGTTTCCTCGATCACAACATTTGGCAATCCACTGCCTATCCATTTAAAACTTGTATTTATAACCACTATATAGAAGCAAAAATATACACAAACTTAAATAAGAAAAGTTAATGACTATGAGAAATGGCAGGGGAATTCACCTCTCTGCAAATTATTTCTAATAAACTTGCTCCCAGCAAAAAAGTAGCAGCGAGAACAAAAACAACCTGCCAAAAGAAAAAGTAAGCACTAGTAATTAGATAATAAACATGTTCCAAATTTATTATGTAAAAACAAATCTTTCAAACAGCATGATGAGTTTTCATGTTTTTTATGATATCCAAAAAGGCTTGGCTCATAATTGATCTTTTCGGTAGCCAACGATAGGAAGCATATTGATTAGATATCTTATATTCTTCTATAATTGCCTAAGCAAGCACACAAAAGTAGTAAAGTTAATTAAAAAAATAAATAAAAGGAAAGTAACAATAAAACTTCCTATTACATCCCAATCTCCTCCTAAGCACAACTCCAATTAGAACTCTAAGAATGAGATTTTTGAAAAGTAAACACCGATTCATATTCTTACTTTTGAAAAGCAAAGATAATAAAGCAAATTAACAACAGTGCATAAAAACCCAATAAATCAATTATGCCTGAAGAGATTTCTTTAACATTAAATTTCACAAATAAACCAATCAACAATCACAAAATGATTCTATAAATCCTAAATCTTAAATATGCAGAAATTCACCAAAACACTCGACTTACCCAGAACTAAAGCAAAGAGATTCGACCCAAAAAAAAACTGAAGCAAAGAGATAAAAAGAATTACAAATATGATACCTATATTAGGAAGACAGAGATATTGTGGTGCGTTGAGGAATTAGGAATGAAAGCGCTTTCGTCGAAGTGGTAGTTGTCGCTGGAGCAATAATGGTCGTTGGAGAAGTAGCCGTCATCAAAGAAGTAGCTGACGATGATACATAATCAATCGCGTCGGCCGATGATTTGAGAAACCCAGAAGGCTATGAGTTTTGGTTGCAAAGCGAGTAAAGAGCGAATAAACAAAGGGAGATGAATGAATAGTTGTAATTTTGATTCATATTTATGTGAATAAGTGAGGCTAGGTCCTCATATGTGGGAATATGTGATGATAACTAAACCTTAAAATATAATTTTATTTTCAGGCGAGAAACTTTTCCACTCATTCCTTTTTATTTTTCATTTTTTGGATAGATATTCCCGCACTAAAAATTTGTGACGCCTTAAAATATTATATGTGACCCCACAAGCCTCACAAATAATTGTTGGTCTATGCCGCCCAAAACCGCCAGACTATTTGTGAGGGATTTGGCCTTCCTCCAAAGGTCTTCGTTGTCTTATGAGTGACGACTTGATAAATTCGTCACAAATACCCATTATATGTGACGAATTTACAAGCCTCACTTTTTATTTGGTCACATTAGCCTTTTTTTCTTGTAGTGAATTGATTACACTGAGACGTTTCCTCCAGTTTCCACCAAAGATTCTTTGTGCATAATTATGGCATTGGTGGTGCATTTTGACATATTTTCCCATCAAATGGATGTAAAAATTGCATTCTTGAATGATGAACTTGAAGAAGAAAATTTATGAGGCAACCTGAAGGGTTTACAAAATAGGGAAAATACTATATGGTTTTTTAAACTTGACAAAGTAATTTATGGACTAAAGTAAGCAAGTAGGAGATTGTATTTAAAATTCCATCAAACCGTCTCATCCTATGGTTTTGAAGAGAACATTGTAGAATTGTAAGTTGTGAGTCTGATTTCTTTTTAAGCCTAGAGTGTTAATTGTGTACTCACTTAGTCCTAAGAATGACAAGTGTAAGGCTACAAACATGTAAAGACTGAAATAGTCAAGAGCTAGAATTAAGACAGATGGATGGCTGAGATTCACTAATGCTTGTGTGAATCCAGCTCATAGCTAACGGTCTGTAGTACTCATCGTGTGAGCTCATTTTCTTATATAGTGAATATACAAAAGGCTTGCTCACTGATTTCGTGAGCAAGCAGAGCAGCTATTCATTAAAGGCATTCTTCATCTCCCTTTTTTTTTTTCTCTCTAAAAGACCTACACAAAACCCAGCTTGAATCTGAAAACACTAACATGGCCTCAGAGCCAGGTTTGATCAATTGAATCTGGGCGTTTTTCAAATCTATGAAATCAAACTAAATCGGTGCTCACTCAAGCTCGTGACGATCGATTGAAGCTCATTTGATATCTAAAACAAGTTGGTGGTGGTTATCTGAGATTAGCAATGTCTGGATCTTGAGGTTCAAAAGTAAGAACTCCGATCTTCTCCGGTGAGAACTATGAGTTCTAGAGAATCAAGATGATAACCATCTTCAAGTCATATGGGTTGTGGGCTCTGGTCAATCTAAGTCTCAGAAGAATTGGAATCCGAAGGGCAAACCATGGGAATCAAACTCCAAGTCTCAACACACCAATTTTGCACAGAACTCAACAGTGGGTCAAGAAGGTTCAAAACCACAGTGCAAAGTGTGTTCTAAATTCCACTTTGGTGAGTGCAGATACAAGGGAAAGCCTAAGTGTTACAATTGTGATAAATTTGGACATTTGGCTAGGTAGTGTACTGCAAGCAAGAATGTGCAGAAAGCAAACTGTGCAAACCAAATGGAAGTGACTGGAAATCTATTCTATGCCAACAGTACCATTCATGCCATAAATGTTACTGGAGAATGGTATGGTATCATATTCATGGAATACGATTCACTTTCAAGATGCCTTGGATCCATCCCTTCGATTAATTGTATAGTATCTTAAAACACAAAATATCTAAAAATTATAGATAGTGGGTGTAGCAACCACATGACTGGAAATAGGAGTTTGCTGACAGATATTAGAACAAATGTGGTAGACAAGGTGCAAATGCCAAATGGTGAGCTTGTGAATGTAGCTGGAATGAGCACATTGGCAATTGATACTACCAAAGGCAGAAAGTATATCAAGGAAGTGATGTATCTTCCCGGGTTGAAAGAAAATTTACTAAGTGTGGGCCAAATGGATGAACACGGCTACTACCTAGTATTTGGAGGAAAAGTGTGCAGCATCTTTGAAGGTCCTTCACTAGAGTGTCTTGTAATCAAAGTGGAGATGAAAAGGAATAGGTGTTATACCTTGGCACTATTACCTAATGATCATATTGCATTAAAGGCAAGTGTATCTAATTCTACTTGAACATGGCACAAAAGGTTGGGTCATTTACATCTAAAAGGACTAAGTCAACTTAAAGAGAAGGATATGGTGCATGGACTGCCATTCATGGAAAAGGTTGATGGAGTTTGTGATGGATGTCAGTTTGGAAAGCAGCATCGAGAATGGTTTCCAAAGAACCAAGCATGGAGAGCAAGCAATCCTCTTGAGCTAGTTCATGTGGATTTGTGTGGACCTATGCAAAATGAATCCATTGCTGTAAACAAGTACTTCATGCTCCTTATTGATGATTTTTCAAGAATGGTTTGGGTTTATTTTCGCAGATACAAATATGATGCACTGAATTGTTTTCAAAAATTCAAGTCAATGGTAGAATTGCAAAGTGGCTTTAAGGTGAAGTCTTTGAGAAGTGATAGAGGAGGAGAGTTCACATCTAGTGAATTCAACAAGCTATGTGAGGTTGAAGGGATCCAAAGACAAATCTCTATGGCCTATACTCCACAACAAAATGGAGTAGTGGAGAGGAAAAATAGGACTGTGGTGGAAATGGCAAAAGCAATGCTTCATGAGAAAGGATTGCCTTATTATCTGTGGGCAGAAGCTGTACATACAGCTGTCTACTTGCTAAATAGGTGCCCTACTAGAGCACTTGGAGATAAAACACCATTTGAGGCATATAGTGGGAGAAAACCAGGCCTGGCTCATCTCAAAATATTTGGCTGCTTATGTTATGTACACATACCAAGTGAAGTGAGGCAGAAGTTAGATGCAAAAAGCACAAAGGGTATTTTTGTAGGATATGCAATCTGTGAAAAAGGTTATAAAGTGTATGATCCTGCTACTAAGAAGATTCTACTCTCAAGGGATGTTGTGTTTGATGAGAATGCAGCTTGGGATTGGAAACAAATGTCTGATAAACAAGGAAGTGTGATCAATCATGAAGAGCAAGCTGATCTGCCGAATGATTTATCACAAGCGACACCTTCTAGAAGTCATGATCACCTTCAAACTCCAAGAACAAGTGATATAAGCAACAACATGAGAAATACTCAAGCTTATGATCACACTCCATTAAAATGGAGAAATCTGGATGATGTTCTAGCTCAATGCAATCTTTGCATTATGGAACCAGAAAAATTTGATGAAGCTGCTAAGGATGAGTCTTGGATGAAAGCAATGAAGGATGAATTGTCAATGATTGAGAAGAATTCAACATGGGAGCTGGTGGACAGACCAGCCAATAAACCGATAATTGGAGTTAAGTGGGTGTTCAAAACTAAGCTGAACCTTGATGGATCAGTACAGAAGAACAAGGCACGGCTGGTTGCCAAAGGTTATGCTCAAAAACCAGGTATTGACTACAATGAGACCTTTGCACCAGTGGCTAGACTTGATACAATCCGCACACTAGTTGCATTGGCAGCACAAAAGAATTGGAAATTGTATCAGCTAGATGTCAAATCTGCTTTTCTAAATGGTGTCTTGGAAGAGGAGGTGTATGTAGATCAACCGGATGGTTTTGTGGTCAAGGGGAGTGAAGATAAGGTGTACAAGCTTCATAAAGCTCTCTATGACCTAAAACAGGCACCAAGAGCTTGGTACGGTGAGATTGACACATACTTTGCCCAATGTGGATTTACCAAGAGTCAAAGTGAGGTCACTCTCTATACCAAAACCAGAGGAGAAGCAGAAATTCTAATAGTGTCCATTTATGTAGATGACATTGTCTATACAGGGAGTTCTCAGTCAATGTTAGAGGAGTTCAAACAAGACATGATGGTGAAATATGAAATGACAGACTTGGGGCTCTTACATCATTTCTTAGGAATGGGAGTCATTCAAACTCACACTAGCATTTTCCTTCACCAAAAGAAATATGCTGCAGCTTTGTTGAGAAAGTTTGGACTACATGAATGCAAACCAGTCTCTATACCTTTGGTTACAACTAAGAAGTTAAGCAAAGAAGATGGAAGTGGTCCAGCTAATGAAGAGCAATATAGGAAGATTGTGGGAAGCTTGCTATACCTCACAGCTACAAGACCCGATATAATGTATGCATCTAGTCTACTTGCTAGATTTATGCATTGTCCTACTAATAAGCATTATGGGACTGCTAAAAGAGTTCTCAGATATATTCAGGGGACACTTGATTATGGCCTGGAGTATTTGAAATGGAGGAATGCAATGTTAATTGGCTACTGTGATAGTGACTGGAGTGGCTCAGTGGATGACAGTAAGAGCACTTCAGGGTATGCTTTCTCTTTTGGTAGTGGTGTTTTTGCTTGGGCATCAGTCAAACAGAATTGTGTTGCTCTTTCTACGGCAGAGGCAGAATACATCAGTGCTTCAGAAGCAACTGCACAGGCAATTTGGCTCAGGTTTGTTTTGGAAGACTTTGGTGAATTTCAAGCTGAAGCTACACCACTTCATTGTGACAACACAGCAGCTATTGCTATCACAAAGAACCCTGTGTTTCACCAGAAAACTAAGCATATTGATCGAAGGTATCACTTCATCAAGGATGCTTTGCAAGAAGGAATCATTAACTTGATTTACTGTCCTACAAATGAGCAGCTGGCAGATATCTTCACAAAGTCATTGGCTAAAGATTGATTCTGCTATCTCAGAGACAAGCTTGGTGTGAAATCAACTCAAAACTTAAAGGGGAGTGTAGAATTGTAAGTTGTGAGTCTGATTTCTTTTTAAGCCTATAGTGTTAATTGTGTACTCACTTAGTCCTAAGAATGACAAGTGTAAGGCTACAAACATGTAAAGACTGAAATAGTTAAGAGCTAGAATTAAGACAGATGGATGGCTGAGATTCACTGATGCTTGTGTGAATCCAGCTCATAGCTAATGGTCTGTAGTACTCACCGTGTGAGCTCATTTTCTTACATAGTGAATATACAAAAGGCTTGCTCACTGATTTCGTGAGCAAGCAGAGCAGCTATTCATTAAAGGCATTCTTCATCTCCCTTTTTTTTTTCTCTCTAACAGACCTACACAAAACCCAGCTTGAATCTGAAAACACTAACAAACATAGCCGATCAATGCGTTTATCTAAAGAAGTGTGGAAGCCGATTTATTTTTCTAGTGTTGTATGACGATGATATACTTTTGGCTACAAATGATCACAATTTATTGAAGGAGAGTAAGGAGCTACTTTCAAACAATTTTGAGATGAAGAATTTGGGAGAATATGCTTTTGTGTTAGGCATTGAAATTCAGAGAGACCGACTCGAGGTCTGCTAGGCTTGTTTCGAAAAATATACATTGAAAGAGTACTCAAACGTTTTGACATGAGTATGTGTTTTGGACAAAAAGTTCCGTTAGCTAAAGGAGACTTAAAGAAAGAGCATTGCTCCAAGAATAAAGAAGAAGAAGTTGAGATGAGGAACAAGCCGTATGCTTCTCTAGTTGGAAACACACAAGTATGTACAAGGCCAGACCTAGCATTGCGGATTGACTTTTGCTAAGTTGTAAAGGGATGTATATATTGAAAAGCATAAAGATTCACATTACAGATCAATACATATTAAGGTTCGCATTTGTAGGTGCTTCATGTGTTTTGAGATTGCATTATATGATTATAGATGACCTATTTTTTTAATAAAGGAGAGCAATGCTTGTCTATAGTTCGTTTTGTCTAATTGGTTTTCACTGTAGCTTGAAGGGAAGGACTTAACTGTTTTAAACTCATGGCCAATAAAGATTATCAAACTTTTGCAATACAGAAGCTCAGTGTTCTAGTGCTTGATCTAGTGGGAGATTGTTATATTCCTATTTAGATCGGTGCGCTAGATACTAACTTATATCATGTTTAATAAGTGTTTAAATTAGGTTATACCTTGGACTGGTATTACACCCCAAATTCCACCCCTCAAAATACATGAGTTGGAGATGAGTTTTGGGCTCAAAACTCAAAATTTGAGTTTCCACCCTCTTGGGTTGGAGATGGTCTAACCTTAATCTCATCATAAAAAGAGGGCTGAAATAATTTCTGAGAGCAGAAGTCTTGAGCCATTCGTGTCTTTTACTCTTGCTGATGCTACGACTGAATGAGTTCTAAGATCGTATACTCAAGGAAGATGACGTTAGATATGTCTTCTATATATTTCAAGTTGTGTGATAGATCATGAACACATATATGGAAATCTAACACATGTCTGTTCATTTAAGACCTTAGCACCCAACAGTATATATGCCCACATGTTTTTTTCAACACCAAAAGGAAATAAAAAAGTTAATCATCATTATTCATCAATCTCTTTGGCTCTTTTGTTCAATCCTTTGACAATTTTGTTTTTCTTTCAAATTCAGGAATTTCAACCCCAAAACATGAAAATTCTAATTCCTAAATTCATAAAGACCACTCAAAATTTGTGATTGTCATTGTTGATGATGAATTTTAGTTATTAAAAAAAAATTTGTTTTATGACCTTAAGTTATGAAAAGTGATTATTTTTAGTGTTTTCAGATTAGATTAGGGTCTCATTTAAGTTTTGCATAGAGCCTTCAAAATCTCAAAACCGGCTCTACTTATGACTTATAGTCTCTGTGCTTAATTTATAAATACAATTATCACTTTTCTCTATATATAAAATAAAATATAAAATAAAAACGTTTGTGCCCCAATCTTTGGTATATATGTTCACGTTTCCTTAATGTCCCTGTTTTATCGTAAGTTGGGCTAATCATTTCATTGTTTAAAATGTAAAATCTTGACTTGCATGTTGGCATTAGATAAGCTGACACGTAATTGTATGAGGATCTTGAATAATGATATCTCAAAACAAAACCTTACTAGAAAAGTGCCCACATAGATTCTAGGTTAACTTACAGTCCACGCAACTAATGATTAATGATGATAAGCATCATCTACTAATTACAGGAACTTGAAACGATGGATGGATTGAATGGGGATAAACTATACCAGCAAAACCAAGAAAATGTTTACAGTTTACGTCATGCATGCAAATCGTGAAAAATGAATGGACATCGATGCATGATTTGAAGTTTCCACCAAAATCCTAACACCGTGTATTATAACCAAAATGGAGCCTCCATTTCCATGAGAAAGACAGGGCATTTCAGAATTGATGGTGACATGATATGCCGCTGGCAAATTAAAGAACTTGAAACTCAGCTACATATGTTCCTCGTGTGCACAGTCCAAATAGCTTGCTCCCTAAAATTCCTACTACCTCCAAACTCTGAACGTATTATTTTCGAATCTGCATGCTACTAATTTCTTCTCTTATCGATTTTCCCCTTAAATTTTAGGGCAAGATGCCGGTGTCCGATCTTTTTTTCTTTTTTTTTCGGGGATTCATGGAATGGTAAGGGCTCAAAACCAAAGTTTTACAGTTAAATGTTTCAATCAAACCACAACCAACAAAAAAAAAAAAAAAGAAGGAAGAGAGATAGCAAGGGAGCAGAATGGCATGGCTATCCATCCAAGTAAAATATTCATGTGTTACAGGTGATACTATTTGTACTACAAAGTGATATGTCAATTATTTCCTCAAAAGTAAATGTACATTTGATACGGTTTGATTAGCTATTTTTTATTTTATTTTTGTCTTTTCTCTTTTGCCTTTTTGTTTTCCCTTCCATGATATGTGTATCATGTGATATATATTCAATGTGCCGGAAAAATTTCTCTCTCCAACTGTTTTGGTGAGACAGTAACCACTCAAATCAAGTTGATGTGGATATATATTCGTAAGCACCATGCAACAAAAATGTGACCCAATGTTAAAGCAATTCTTACAGATGGAAGTTTGAGTTTGACCCACTTATTTATGGGGCCCGATTCATAATATCTTAGCCTAAAGAATATACGTTTCAATCAACGTCATTCTTTTTCCGCCCAGTGTTTAATTCAACAGTGAGATGTATTATGGCTGGAGCAATTAGTTCTTTCAATCCATACAAGAATACAATAACGTAGTATAATATGAGTAGATAATATGTCGTGCATATATTGGTTTTGAGGGTGTTTGTCTCGCATTGAAAAGTTGAGGCTCCAATTGATTTTATGATGGAGCCTCAACTTTCTTCATGGTATTCGAGTTAGGCTTCACCCGTTGGACTCAACGACCACAAGTGCTCCCACGTCACCTAATAAGTGTTGTCTATATGTTAGGCTTGAAAGTTTGCTGAGTTTATAAAGAATGTTAGCTTAAAAGTTTGTCACACGTGATGAGCTGTGTTGAGAATTTGTCCCACTCTCATATTGAAAAGTTTAAGGACCTAGTATGTGTTGAGAATTTGTCCCACTCTCATATTGAAAAGTTTAAGGACCTAGTCATGGTGAGTTGATAATTGCATTTAGGTGGGGTACAATACTAGCAAGAAAAATATATGGAGGCAGTCGACGTTGAGGTTTAAGTGGGGGTATTTTTATGAACCCAATAGATCGGCCAGTCCTCAAGTCGCTTAAAAGTTTCTTCTTTCTAGACCCAATAAATACTTTGAGCCTGAGCCCAAGAAGATATATGCATACTTATCAGAGGGCTTCAGTTAGTTTCCATTACATTCTCATGTGTGTTAGCTTTACTTCGAAAAATTATTCTCCAGATGACACGAGTAATTAATGACTTCAAGAAGAAGGTGATATTAGGCACGGAGCTTTAATCCATAGCAGTTAATTAACATAAAAAAAAAAGTATAATTGCTCGCACCTTTGTTAAGGGGGTGATTGCCTTGTATGTTGAGCACGTGTCTGCTGGTTTGAGGAGTCTCTGGATGCTCTTGATTATTGTTGTTTCAAACAGTTTTGGTATATTTTAGTCTTATAGCAATGGTCTTTAAATTATGTCCGTAGTTACATTTTCGTTACTCAACTCCAAAAATAGTTACGGAAATTCTCCAATTAGCATCACATGATATCATAAAGTCATAAAGAGAAGCTAATATTTTAAAATGCTTCTCTTTATGACTTTCTGAAGTAACCCTGACAATTAATAGCTTTATTTATTGCTAATTCTAAGTTAATTATATTACGTTTGAATGGAGTTCTGAATTTTGTTCTTAATCACAAGAAAATTAAGTTGGCGTAAAAGTTGGAAAAGTCTTGAAATATTTGCGTTGAAATTTTGAATCAAGTTCTTTTTTGTTCTTTGCGTAAAAAGGCCTTGATGTGGAGCGTAAATATTTGATCAAAAAATTGATATATAGTTGAAACTTGACAGACCTATTTAGGGTTTCAAAAACTTGTGTTTGAGTTGTGACGAAGACACACGGTTGGTTTGATAATCATTTCAGTTTTTATTTTTTTTTACTATAATAAAAAGATAAAAAGAGAGAGAATGGAAGTGAGAATGAGAGTAAAGATGAGATTGAGAGGGAAGATGAGGAGATGATGGGAGGAAGAAGTAACAAAAGTGAAAACAAAAAAAACAAAAAATTGAAATCTATTTGAAATTGTTTTTACTTTTGCTATTCTTCCCTCTCATCCTCTCCTCTCAATCTCATCTTCACTCTCATTTTCCTCTGTATTCTAGCACAAAATATAAAAATTAAAAACTAAAATTAAAATGGTTATCAAAAAGACCGAAATTAAGTCAGCCACTGGATTTCCTTGTTTTTTTTTGGTAGTACAAACGTAT